ATTATTAAATAGTTTGAACATTCATATAGTTTTGTTTTCCATTTTGAGATATTTTAGGAATAATGATAATAATGATAACTCACTACTGTAAATTTTCCACATTTGGTTCGAGGTCATAAAACTTTTCGCAATGCATAGAACTTCATTCAGTATGAGGGCCATAATATAATGTCCATGAGTATTCATCTTCATCATTTTCAGCTAACTAGATGCTCAAAATCGTAACATAGAAGTTGCTTAGTACTATGCATTAGTAGGAGATCTTGATCAATTTTTTTATTACTTTATAAGTCTGCATTCTGTCCTAATACTGTTGAGTTAGCAAAAAAATGACTTCATATAGATAAGCATAGATGTCTTGATGACATCCGTTTCATTACGAAATTTCAACTTTAATACCCATAATGTCCAAGATGATGATATGTCAAGTTTAGAATTGTGAGGTGTTAATATAAAGTTTCTCAAAACACGTTGTCATCTCTACATTTTAAGCAATAATTATTCAAATTATAAGGATATCAAGTGAGATGAATTTCTACCTAATACTGAATGAATAATTACTCAAAATTAACATCCTGACATTCTGATAGATGATGTAACTTGTATTATAACGGGAGGCGGAACAACTACCCAATTTGCACGATTGGATAGAGTGAAATTTTGACTAAGTGGCTTAATTATCGAGTGTTTACATTTAGATTTAAAGATTTGAGTGCAATTGATTATTCAGTGCTGGATAGTCGTGAAGTTAGGAAAATAATTCATTCGGTTACAAAATATGCTAAACTGATATTAAATATTGATTTTTTACGGATTTTTTAGCTAACTTCACTTTAAAAACTTTTGCAACTGCAGAAGTATTGCTGGATTAGTTACGTTTCATATTTTCTAACTGTCCATGTCTGAGTTAAAAGTTTATTAGTTAAACTTATATTGAAATGATGATAGTAACGTTTACTAAAATTAGTAGTAATATAAATCAATTTGTTTTACGGATACACTAAATGATCAGTACAAATAGGTGCCAAATTAAATTGTTTCATCATTGACCAGTATGACACACACGCACTAATGTAAATTTTTCTAAATTATTAAAAATTTCGTAATCGATCTATTCTCATAGTGAACATTTTAAAAGGTCAACTATTGTTAGAATACTGCATTCAGTCACGAGAATCGCAAAAACAATATACATTTACCAACTATGTGACTTATTTGCCAACTACGGGTTTATGTACTTGGTTTTTAACCAGAACTGAGTAATCTATTTTGTGTTTGAAAAGTTATATTGATTACTTACGCCTGTTACCTCCAATAGAGCATACGCCGCCGACCAATATTCCTCAACCTACTCTGTCCTGGGCCCTTCCTTTCCAATTTTTGTTCATTCTTCTCAAGTCTGTCTCCATTTCTCGGCGTAATGTATTCCTTGGCCTTCCTCTTCCTCTGACCTTGAGGGTTCCAAGTGACGGCTTGTCTTGTGACACAGTTAGGTGCTCTCCTCAATGTGTGTCTTATCCACTTCCAGCGCTTTTTCCTGATTTCCTCCTCAGCTGAAATCTGGTTTGTTCTCTCCCACAGAAGGTTGTTGCTGAGTGTTTGGCCAACGAATCCGAAATATTTTGCGTAGCCAACTGTTAGTAAACACTTGCATCTTCTGGATAATGGCTTTGGTAGTTCTCCAAGTTACCACCCCATACAATAGAACTGTCTTGACATTTGTATTGAAAATCCTGATTTTGGTTTTGGTTGAAAGTTGTTTGGAATTCCAGATATTTTTCAACTGTAGAAATGCAGCTCTTGTTTTGCCGAACGGCGCCTTCACATCTGCATCAGATCTACATTGCTCATCAATTATGCTACCCAGGTATGTAGAAAGTAATCTCCACCAAGTATGATTTGGTTGGTGCATGCCGTATTGCCTCGGTGAATCTTGCATATCCCTTTATGTATGTTGAGACCTGCTGCTGCTACACTGATCGTCTTTTCTTGCATTTGTTTGTGTGCGCGCGATAGAAGAGCCAGATCATCTGCGAAGTTCAAATCGTCCTGTTGCATCCTGACTGTCCGCCGTATACCGTGCTTCCCTCCAGATGTTGACGTCTTCATAATCCAGTCAATTACCAGGTGAATGGGAAAGAGTGAGAGTAAGCAACCTTGCCTGGACAAATTATATATATATATATATATATATATATATATATATATATATATATATATAATGTTTAAAACGCTTATCATATTTCTTGTCTGTTTTGTCTCTTCGTTTAGGCGGTATTCAAGAGTTTTGCAATTCTTATCAACATTTATGTGTGGGATCACCAGACAAATCTCAACCTACAAGTAATGAATCGAAAATCAGTCCCATTGAAAATTTAGTTCATAATGATTCGAAAAATAAGTTCGCTCATTCTTTGAATATTTCACTTACAAAAACCAAGTGTAGAAAACTAGAATTCAAATGTTCGCCAATATTGTTACCGGGTTTAGGCTTGTCTGTAGAAAATATAGAACACAAGCCGATTCGATTAGACAAGTCAGTGAAACAGTCAAATAATTTAGATTCAACAACAGTTATTCATTGCAGCTCAAGTACAAATCCTACTTCAAAACAGTGGAATCTGGAAGAATTATGTTTAAATGACAATGATCCTGGTGATCCAAAAGATATATTCCGTGCTGAAATCAGTCGAATATTCCCTTTCCTATATCTAGGTAAAAATAAAATTTTATACTAAATGATTTTACATGATGAGTTATATTACATCCTCATGTAGAAATAACTTATGAATAGATAACATCAGATTTTGTTTATTTCTTTGGTCTTTGTAAAATACATAGTTCAGTACAAAGAATAACCCATTTTTCTTAAATAAGACATTTGATCATGTATGCATCCTACACCTAGAGTCCCTTAGTAGAATATTCCAGTTACCTCGGTCTAAATAAATTTATAATATATTCACTGCAGTTAAGTTTCTAATCTTTACTGCCATTTTTAAGTAATGAAGAAATCATATTTAATTGTCATAATTTATTATATCGATAACATAAAGCCATGATAATGTTAGAATCATTGGAATCCAGTAGCAACAAAACTATTTGTTAGCATAAATGTAAATTGATAGTAATCAAAGGTGTTTTCTATACATCGTTGAACTTGTTAAAATATCAAGATGGTGTTAGTTTATGTTTTGTTACTTTAAATTTCAAAATAGTAATTAAGTAATGATTAAAACACTATTTCTGACAACATGATTACATATTCAAATCGTTTTCCATTTTACTTCATACTATGTAGTGTCACTACTGCTGAAAACCCAAAACTAACAACAACTTGCACCAGATAGATGAATAGTATTAAGATAAACAAATTTATAAACTTTTTGACATGCATACCTTATTTTAGGGTCCACATCTTTGTTAAACAATTACTGAGAACTAGGGAGCACTGAATATCTGTTTTGTCCTTGTATGGAACCCAGCAACGAATATTCATGACCCTTCCCCGGGGATTTTATCTGTGATTTTCGGGTCTCATTTCAAATTTTATCATTGTTTTGCTCACTATAATTTTAAAGTTTGGACACTTAAATCTTATCCATAATGTCCATCAAGAAATCTGCAGCTCTTGAATTTTGTCAAATAAATTATTTTTCAGACAATTTTGTTAGCATTCAAGATTTTGATAATCATATTATCACAGTTTTGTATGTCGATTATCTGAAAATGCTTATTTGACGGGTATTAGATTTATATTTTGATAGTTATTCACTTTTTGGTATTTATGTATCTTTTAGAAATAGTCCTTTTGTTCCCTTTGACAATCAGTATTCGGGATTTGAAAAACAATGGACATTTTTGTGTAGACTCGGTTTTCGCAACATACCGAGATTAGTAGATAATTCAAGTCCGACTCTGAATTTACTTATTCTACTCATCAAATTTTCCTATCTATCAGCAAATTAAGATGTGGTACAAGGGTGGTGGATGCTGCTCCCAAGGGTTCTTATAAGTAGTATCCAATCGAGTACCGCCTGGAAGCTGACCAACTCGACATTCACAGATATAAGTTTCAGGTGATCAAGAGCACAACCTGTCTGAGATACTTTGAAGACCGGGACATGGATGAAAGATAACCGATTATAGCCTTCTTGGGTGTCATAATACGCAATATATATATATATATATATATATATCCATATGTATATGCATGTAATACTTAATTCTGTTAACCATCAACCATTCAATACAGATGAATTAGTTTTCACACCATTATACAAGCCAGTGGCTATCTCGACTCACTAGCTAAGTGGATAACGCGACGGCCTTTGAGGCGAAAGTTGCTAACTTGGAGTCCTGGAGTGAACGTCAACTCTGGGATGCAGGTACATCCAACTGATGGGTCCCGATTGGAATGAAATTCGGTCCTGAATTCCACTACTAGCCATCATAAATCTCTGCTAATAATGCTTGTAACTGAATTGTGATATCGAGACAATCCACAAAAGATGTAAATATACTTAAGAGGCTGATCATTTGGAGTTCTGAACGTCAATAGGAAGATTCAAACAACCGATACAAATAAATCCGTTAACCACAGTTACATTAGCAAATCAATTAGAATAATGGTATTTTTTGCCTATAAAACCTGTAGTACTTTTAAATAAAGACACCAATGCATAAACTTTCCAGCGCTATATATGTATATGTCCACTTGTACTAGCTAAATATTTTATAAATTGGAAATTTCACACTGTATTAATATTAAGGTTGGTTACTTGTACTTTTATTAAACATGTCCATCAAGTATAAAAAAATTTGGCAGTAACAAATTCATGTGAGAAATTATTATATATTCACGTCAATATACTATGTATACCTTGATATTGACCGTGATCTAGGCATATGCTTATATATACAAAGGTATGATGTATAATTTCATTAGGATTTGTGTTGACATGAGACCTGATTTCATCTCATTTATTGTGTCATTCTTTTAACCTAGGAAATGAATTCGATGGTCAAAATGAATCTATTTTAAATAAATATAACATTGATTCAATTCTAAATGTAACGGTTAAAACACCATTTCTTGACGAATCGCGTTTTCGTTGTTGTCGTCTTCCTGCGAATGATTCACATTCACAAGATTTACGATCACATTTTACAAAAGCATTTCAATTCATCGGTATGTAGTTGTACTATGTGTTTTTATATTTTTTATTCATTATTGACTACCATGTGTACCAATATTGATTGACATAAAATATTTGCTTTCGAGAAACCTGTATTTATACATGTTATTTTTGTGAAAATCAATGGCAACAACAATTAAAGCATTTGATTGTTTCCTAAACAGTCACTTAGTTAAAACGTTCTAAGAAAACTGGCTACATAATTGATTTAGGTTGCGTCACTGACCATTCGACTATGTTACACCTTTCAACTTCAATGCTGAATGAAACCTTTTGTCAATAGCAGTTTCAACTATAATAAGG